CTGAATTCAGATCTCAGCTTGACTGTTGTTATGCTAGGTACCTGTATTTGAATGTATCAGTCAGGTCTTCAGAGTTTAGGAGACCACGGGCCTTGCACTCACCCGCACAGGATGCTGTGCACATGCACCTCAGCTGTGGCTGCAGCCAGTCTGGTTTGTCCAGTGTTGGACCTTCTGTGCATCAGTGGTGCTGAGCATAAGACCTTTCTATAGACCTCTGTCTTGTTGTGATACGGTTATGTATGGGTAGTCAGAGAATGTTATTTCCAACAGAGTCCTTGATCAGTTTTGCTTGCCTTGCTCTTTATTTGTTAGACTTTCCAAGCCAACTTCACAACCTCTTAAATCAGCCACAATTTTGTTTAAAAAGAGAATGTTTGGGAATGTTTCTTCTAAATTTCCAGCCTGGTTTAACCCTGTATCTGATGCTGAGTATGTGACTACTGAATGGTACTATGTTCTTCTGTAGAGTGTATATAGAGTGTAGAGTACAGAGTGGAAGTGGTGGCTGTACAGTTTAAAAACATGAAGTGTAATACTGGTGGTGACACTGAGTTGGGAAAAGAGATAGCAACTTTGGCTCTAGTGTTGGTCTGTATGTGGTAACTTTGGCTTTCATCAGTAAGGAAGGTAATTAATACTGGTGATAATGGGCAGCTCTTCAGCATTTCTGGAAATGACTGTGACTCATCTGATTTAAATAGAAAATAGAAATGCATCTTCTGGCTGGGCAACAGGTTGGCTAGCAAATTCGGGGCAAGAAACACCTGTGTTCCAGACATGAACAGTCCTGTGTCTCTGTAGCAGAGCCATCTGTGCCACAGGTTGCTTGCCAGATTTTTCTGCAGAAGGAGTTTATCCATTAGAAAGATGATTCCACAGTGCAGTGTGGATATGTGCCACTTTCAGACAATCCACGCAGGAAAGATAATGCTGCCCATTCAGTGGCAGCATCTGTTCTTTGGCATTCGCTTTGAATATGATCATTGCTAGTGACTTGCTGCTGAAATACTGGAAGCACCATCATGATTTAAATAGCATTTCAATAGCAGGGTGCTTTTAATGTTCTCTCTGCTGTTTCATAGCAGCAGGTGAGCATCCCTGATACCTCTATTCTTTTACTGGGTAGGATGAGGTATAAGTCTCTATTTATTTCCTGTCTACAGCTTTGCGTTGTACCAATGCCAAAGGCAGAAGTAGTAGGGAAGTTTTATGAATCCTGATTTGGTATCTTTTTCATTAGAAAGGTACTGTTTTCCTAAAAGCATATCACACGGATACCGTAATGTTGGCATGGTTTAATAAATGTAAAACTGTAGAATAATACTGGATCTCTGTCCCTTTTGTCCCTTTGTTTGGTAAAGATTCGATTTAATTGTTTCATTGTTTATATTTGCACATATTCATGGCAAACAAAACTATTTGGTCCCATAATCTGTCTTCTGGGACAATACAGATTATACAGAATATCAGCCAATAACTCCAGTGTGTTTATAAATTCAGGTCAAGTGAAATTATGTTCTTATTTTGAAAGGACAAATAAAACTTTGGTGGTTCCTGCTTACCCTTTTTTGGTGTTGGAGAAGAATATATGGATTTTTGCTATAGAACTGAAGTTTTTTTCAAAGGTTTTCATAGCCTAAGTAACTTTCCCTCTGATATTTTGATAGTGTATCTAGACTCCAACTACATGTGTTCCTTGTACTTCAATAATTTTTACTCCAACTGGTCAGTTTTACTCAGTTTTCATTCCATTTGTTTGCATGTTGAGTAACTATCAGAGTGGATGAGCTTCACGAACTTTAGAATGAAGGGGTTAAAGTGGAAAGATGTTATTTTATGATTTGCATAAAACTAGGCATATTTCTAGCAGTACAAATAATTTGGTTGCTTCTTAAATTGGTATTTAAAGTGCCAAAAAAATTTCTAACATCTCTGATTAGATTGAATTTAATTTTCCTGATTTAGATATTAAATAGAAGCTGTAATTAGTATCTGATTCTCTTATGGAACTTTATTTTTAGGGTAAGCATGTATTTTATTCATGTTTAAATTATTCTCCAAGTGTTTAGTAATACTGGTATTTCTGCAGTGTCTGAAGAATGAGGTTGCAGTGCTGAATGCCTAAAATAACCTAAAAGTCTAAAATACTATTTCTTTCTAGATCATGGTATTTCAGAACTCTAGACAAGAGACAAAACTTGCTGATTGTGACAGTCTGACTTCCAAGACTAACCCTGTTGAATTTATTTGTGGACTGTTTGATTATAAGACATTATAATGGCTAGTTCTTTATCATTTTCGGTAATTAGGTGCTGTAGGAGGATGACTATCTGTAATACTCTCTAGTTAGTATGTCTCTTCTGGGGAGACAGAGTTTTTTCTCTACTGTTGAGTCTGAAGTTTGTTTTCTTTATGCTACTGTTTGTGGCTGAAAATAAGCAGATCAGGGAGTGAATGTCTAAGCCTCAGATCTTCTTGATAGGGCTGCTGGATTTATGTGAAACTCAGAACTTCTCAGATACCTTATTTTGCCATAACCTTAAGTCAGATGCCAAAATCCCCTGTGCTTGTCAGAACCTTGAAACTTCAGAGTATGTTTGACCCCCCCAGATCCAAAATCATATAGCTCAGTAAAAAGATTATTCACCTGGAAAAGAGGAAAGCTTGAATTTAGTTCTGGTACAGTTTTTCCAGATAAGTCAGCATAAACATTTCTAGCTCAGGTATTTCCAGCTTTTCCATATGAAGGCCCGTCAGGTCTGGATGCTGGAGTATTCATGTTAGGCTCCCTTTGAGCTGTGTAGCGTTCATTTGCTATGGTTACTAGCTACACATTAATTGCATTGATCCTACACTTCTACCATCATAGTTCCCATATTAAATCCACAAGACATCTCCATAATCTTTTCAAAGTGTATCACACATGTTTCTCCCATCATGTTGCTGATGCTTTCCTTGGGGGGCGGAGTCACATAATTCTCCCCCCTGCAGCCTGGACCTCCAGCTGCATTTGCCTAATGTTTGCAGGACTGACCACAGCTGGGTGCTGGTAGCATTGCTCTCTCAATGGCTACTGGACAGTGCCAGGGTCTAGGCAGTTTTGGGGAAAAGTTTTAGAAGACTTCCTCACAATATTTTCCTCAAAGGAAGTGATTTTCATTATATTCTATGATCTTAAAATGCGATTCAGTTCCTCTAGAAACTGTCACACATCAGCATACCCCTATGAGACTGTAGCTACTGCAGTCTTGATAAACAACAGTTACGTGCTCCACTATTCTCTGTCTTGGGGTTACCCTGAGCTGTTACTGCAATGTGCAATGTGCCAGTGCGGTGCCATTTTTTATCACCTGCAAAACAGACCGCCCTAAGGGCCAGCCAAGAGCCCTTTTCTGGCACAGCTTATGTCTGTTTGTGTGACATCTCTTCTAGGGCTTAGAGTCTATCATTCTCAAGTCATCTCTCCAGTCTGCTTTCAGTCTGGTTTTCCAGCCTTTTGCTGGCCTCTCGCATCACAGGTGAACTGCATCTAAGGTGTTTCCAGTAATACAAAGTCTTTTGAGATCCTTCATCTCCTATTTATTCATCCCATGCTAGGATTAAATAGAGCCTTCCCCACCC